ATAAAAGACATAAAGTGATGAATTAATACACTAGACACATGGTTTTATTTCAACACTTTATTATGACATCGTAAAGTGATGAATAAAAACACTAAACACATGGTTTTATTCGTAGGCCTAGAGGCTAGATCTAGCCTAGCTAGGTAACATCGTTCGTCCATACATACGTATAAAATTAAGCGTTACGTACGTATTAGGTCAAAGGTTACCACAAATTTAACCCAACCTCTATTTTACGAATACCCCGATTTACGTACGCCCTCAGGTCCCGTACCGTACGTAAAATCGAGGTTCTACTGTAATAATAATAACAGTGCTCAAATACTACTTTAATAATGAATAATAATACTTTAATAATACTTATTTACGATAGTTTGATGAATGAGATAATAATGAATCAGCATAAAATCAACTTTCGTTTATGCAAAACATGTTTTTTGATAAAAATGTTATCTATTTCATTCTGTTTTAACAAATACAGTATCCTTATAAATTCTAAGTTTATTTTCTGTGATAATTTTATCCACATAATTCATATTTTCAATGTTATACTATGGTTGATAAATAATATATAAAACAATAATAATAATAATAGTAATAATAATAATAATTTTTGTTGTACTGTACCTTTTGTAAATGTGTATTGGTCGAATAAATAAATGAAATGAAATGAATGAAATAATAGTAACTAGATTTGAACTCGTCACTGAGGATGAGTTTGGTGGTGCTCCGTGGCACTTTAACCCTCAAGAAGAGCATGCGGTGCTGATTGAAAAGTTGTTTTTTGAATATTTTAAACATTTACACATCACGTACGTCTTGACGTCCGTGCGCATGGTAATGGTAAGAATACAGTGTCACAACCCAAAATATGTAGTAACAAAACGTAATTTCCAGCTCTGGTACAGGCTTTGCGCGTGGAAATGAGCGTACAGCGCGTAAATTATGGAAAGTTTTGGAAAACAAAAATGACCTGAAACGTGCTTTAAATTATTTGAAAAGTGATATTGACAATTTTCAAAATTTAACGTAATGCCTCACAAATTTTCCCTTCATATGAACTATACTGTATATCAGTCTGATAGCGTCAAAATACAGTCTGCCGCCCTCTTTTTTGGATTTTTTTAAAGTAAGAAAGATGAGAAGGCTACAAAAAAATCATTCTTTTTGACCATGATGACGTCATCAAAATTAAAAATAAAGGGACACTTCCGAAAGAGAATTGTCTCAGTTATTACATACTCACAGGTGACAATAGATCAAGAAAGCAAAATACGCTCAATTGAGTAGAAAAATAATGACATCATCAATAAAATTTCAGATTTTTTTAAATCAGATAGCAATATGATGACATCACAAGGTCCGCTCAGCCATAATGATCTATGAAATCATATCTGCAACTCATGTGCTTTCAGAATATGTAATAAAAATTGAGGGTTACCTTTCATCCTAAGGAGCTATAACTGATTAAAAATAGGCATAATTTTAAGCATATATAATTGTTGACACATGCGTACGCATACATTAAGACGGGCGAATGAAAAATTAAGGTAAATGACATTCAACCTTGACCTGAAGTGTAATCCCATTT